GTGTGTGTGTGTGTGTGTGTGTGTGTGTTTGATCTATCTATCTATAAAAACAGACCCCGCCACATTCTCGCAACAATACGTGACATATTCGCCAGCAACTACTATTTGTCCAAGTCTGCACTGTTAGAAATCGGACCGTTGTCCATCTGATTATTAGAAAAACAGACCCTACGAAATAGTGACCCTGGCGAGATATTTTCAAACCCAATACAAGTTTGGTGAGTCCCGGTCCGATTTCTGGAAACAAAGTGTATGCACTATACTTTCATTTTTTTAAAATTGTTTTGTTACGGCTGGTCTGCATTTTCGCCACAATTAGATCTTTTTCAGATTATACACCCCCGACAAGTTGAATAAATGTGTACAGTACATAAGTTATCCCCTTGCCACCACCACTCCAGAACATAGAACGTATGAAATCGATATCGTGAAGAAAAGTTGCGAAAGCACGAGATATTGCCTACAGAAGACGCACCATAAATCAAGTTTACGAGGGAGAGAGGTGGTGAAAATAATATCCAAAGGACATTTCGTCGTCTGGAACAAAAATTGCGGTTCTACACGCGTTCTCATTTGTGCGCATCCCGGAGATTTTTTGAAGGGTGTTACTGATAATACAAAAGTGGATAAGAAAAACGTATTGCGGTTTTTTAAATAATTTTTGGAAGGGGTGGTTGGTGTGTTTTGGCAGGGTTACGAAGCAGTGACTCTGTTTTTTGTATAGCTTTAACGCCCTTTTCAACACAGTAAGGTTATAATTTAAGAGGCGGGGGCCTCTGAATTAAACGACTATCTCATATAATAGAAATATGCCAAATTTAATAGGTTATGAGATGAGACCTCTAGAAACTCCCTAAAAACAACCCAAGTTCAAGAACACCCTCTTGGGAACTCAAACCAGGGTTATCCGTTCCGTAGTTCAGTATGGTACAAACTGAGCAAACGGAGCACCCGAATCTCTCGATTCTTTTTGCGAGAGATTGTTCAAAACAAAGGTGCAAGGTATGGATGTGACTTTACTTTCTGCACTTTGATATGAGGCAACTCGGAATCAATGTCCGTCTCCGATCCAGCTAAGCAAGTGGGTGGAGACGCGTGGAAACGTCTCCATCATCTCACACTCAAGAATTACAGTTTGGGGACAGAACCAGGGTCATTTGCACCACAGGCTGTCTTTAAGATTGCGCTTCTTCGAAAGAGACTTCTGTTATCTATAGAGAAGGGGAAACGGGGCTGAGAGAGCGAGAGAGAAAGAGGGAGAAGGAGAGAGAGAGAGAGAGAGAGAGAGAGAGAGAGAGGGGGGGAGAGGAGGAGGAGGAAGAGAGAGAAGGAGACATATACAAATAAACACACACAAGCTCACACACACACACACACACAC